AACTGGGATCGGATGTCACTTACTGACATACATATTGGAGCGAGTGTCACGTTCCGACACACTAACTTGAATCGGGTACCACGTTTCGGTGCACTAACAGTTTGGGTATGGGTTCAATGAGAGGACTATTGAATTGTCGTGATTACTTGTTAAAGAGAATTGTGGAATTGTAAGTTGTTCATGATTGATAATCGATACATGTGTTATATTCTGTATATGTATGCTTACTGAGTTGTATCTGTTGTATATGCTTCACTTACTGGAATAGCCACGTGATCCTACCAGTACACTGTGGTTGTGTACTGATACTGCACTTGCTCTTACTTTGTTGAGTACAGGGCATCTTCAGGCGGCTACTGATAGACCTCGTTTAGGAGACCAGTGATCTGTCAAATTCAAGGGTGAGTCAGTTCTTTCAGGCAGCCGTGAATTCTCTTTTTGCGCAGCCCCTCTTATTCGAACTTAGATTAGTAATCTAGATGATCAGTTGTTTTAGCTTTCGGGGTTGTACCATTTTTTCTTTAGACTTATGGTTCTTTGTTAGAGTTTTGTTACATTGACTTTCAGGTTCTAGGGAATATTTCCGCAATGTTTTGATAGTCGTTGTTAGACTTTTGAAGTTTATGAGAACTCTACTTTATTTCTTATATTTAAACCTGCTTCCGTATCTTTAAATGTGTAGTTCTTGAGTTAGCTAATTAGTTTTAATGGTTCTCCCACCGGAGGGTTAGTGTGGGTGTCAATCACGACGGTCTGAGTCGTGACAGAAAGCATACAATTAGGAAAAAGACGAAGAAAAAATTGTGTTTAAAAAAACTAAGAAAAAAATTGTATGAATATATTTAAAGGAGAAAATTGTGTGAATATTAAAGAAAGATATTTTAGGAAGAAATGGAGATATTTTTGGGAAGAAGATTAGGAACAATTATTTTTATCTTCAATTATGGAAGAAGATTAGGAAGAGAAAATATTGGAGAGAGATATTTATATATCATGCAAGTTACAAAATATTATATTTATGCAAAGAATATTAGTTAATTAAAGGAAAATACGCTAGAAATTTAAAAAAGAAAACGTTTTTCATTTTTATTTTTAATTTATTTATTAATTTGTTAAGTATTGATGTGAATCTAATGTTATATATCGAAAACTAGAAAGTCCTGTTAGTACTAGTAATATATAATCTTTATATTGTCATTTATTCAATTTTTCCAGAAGAATTTATTTATTTTTTTGACTATTTGAGGTTTCATTTATGGTGACTTAATTAATTTTTCTTCTCCTTTTTTTAATATTTTGGTTTGATTTGGTAGATTGTGTTACATAAATTATTAAGTCTAACACTTATAAATTGTTGACAAAATTTAATTTTAGCAATGTAAATTTGTAAGTGTTGACTTAATAATTTGTGTAACACAATCTACCAAATCAAACCAAAATATTAAAAAAAGGAGAAGAAAAATTAATAAGTCGCCATAAATGAAGCCTCAAATAGTCAAAAAAATAAATAAATTCTGATGACTCCAAAGTTGTCCTCTAGTATATTTCCATGTATATATATATATGGGAAAATTGTATATAATAGCAAACTATTAATTCAAATTAAATGCTATAAATATAGTTTGATTTAATTGTACCTCATAGCAAAACTGTTGCTATTTCACCTCTCTCCTGGTGAATCTCGCTCGCCACTCTCGTTCTCTCCCTCGCCTCTCTCGTTTTTTATACAAACGCAAGTGTATAAAGTGCGTTTGTGTTTGTATAAAAGCGAGAGAAAATTGTATATATACATATATTTTTGTTCCCCTCTCCCAGATCTCGCTTGCTCACTCGCCTCTCTCACTTTATACAAAAACGCAAATGTATAAAATGCATGAAAATTGTATATATACATATATTTTCGTTCCCCTCTCTCCCCTTTCCCAGATCTCGCTTGCCACTCTCCCAGATCTCACTCTCTCCCTCGCCTCTCTCACTTTATACAAAAACGCAAATGTATAAAATGCATGAAAATTGTATATATACATATATTTTTGTTCCCCTCTCCCAGATCTCGCTTGCTCACTCGCCTCTCTCACTTTATACAACTGATCATTTTGTATATGTATACCAAAACAGATTATACAACTGCTTTCTTTTGTATATGTATAGCGAAATATACATATTTATGTTTGCTATGGAGCGCAATTATGCAAACTTTGCTATAGCATACAAATATGAATTTTGTGTTTGCTATATGTGAAAGTTGCTCTATATATATCCCTCATATTTTTTTTTTCTCTCAACACCACCAAATTTTCTTCTCAATTTTAGTCATGACAACATTTGATAATGATGAAGAACCTATGGTTATCATTGTTGGTGGTGGCCCTGGTGGTCTTGCTACATCTGCATGTCTAAATAAATTATGTATACCAAATCTCATTCTTGAAAAAGAAGATTGTTACTCTCCTATGTGGAAAAAATATTCTTATGATAGAGTTCATCTTCATTTAGCTAAACAATTTTGTCAACTTCCTTTTATTCCTTTTCCTTCTTCTCCACCTACTTACATACCAAAAAACAATTCATTCAATACTTGGATGACTATGTTACTCATTTTAATATCACCCCTTTTTACAAAAGAAAAGTTGAATTTGCTAAATTTGATAAATTTACTAAAAAATGGAAGGTTAAATGTTATTACTGGTAATGCCAGAAGCAGAAAGATTGAAAGTACGACATTGGATAAAATTTATCTTACGTAATCCAGATGATTTCTTATAGGGTACTCATTCTTATTTGATAAATATTTAATGATAATATTTTTATTTTATTTTTATTGAATTTCATTTAATATTTTACTGTGAAAAAAGTTTAATTAAAAATAAATATTAAAGTAACTTTAATAAGAACAATTTAATAAACATAATAAAGTCTTTTCTTACTCCCTGTGTCAACATTATTTGTTCACTATTGACTTTACACACTTCTTAAGAAATTATAATAGAAGAATAATTTTATTATATCATCCTTTGAATAATAAATACTATGTCTTAAAAAATGTAATATAGAAATATCGATAATTAGTGATAAGGGTAAATTCGAAATTAAGTGTGAAATTATCTATTGATTTTGTTAAACATTAATACTTATATCTTTGTACTTAAAAGAAAGTATAAATTTAAATCTTGATATATTAGGTTACTTAATATATTTTTTCCTCTCACAATCATTTATTAATTCTTCATAAATTTTATATAATTAAAATTTTCTTTATACAAAGTCATTAATCAAGATGTTTACTACAGAGATTCCGTAAAAATATTTTTAGCATTATTAATTCTACGCATTAACCTTTACTGGACAACCATAACAGTCAATTACGAGCTCTTGATCCACTATGGCCATCGACATTTATAGTATAATAAATAACTACAATCATTAGCAATTACCATAAGCCAGACAACCACCGTCACATAGTCATAACCATCAACTACATGTTTAAGATTGTTGCAATTTATGTAAAAGGAAAAATAAATATATTTTGATTTGATATGATGATACGATAGTTATTTGTCTCATCAACAATAAAATTATTAAGTGGAATGGAATATGATGGGGGTATGGAATTGTGGGGTAATAGGCATGTGAGCTAGTTCAACTGATCAATTCCAAACTGGTCCATGCTAGTAAAAATATAATTCTGATTATGCATAAATCGGTTTGATTTTGATCATAGCAATTTTAGGGGGAGGAGAAATTAGAGTGCTAGTAAGAATTAGTCATGTGCACCAATCGGGGGGGGGGGGGGGGGGGGGGTTAGAATTAGACGTTGGGTTTAATGAAATCTTGTTCAACTAAGCAGATCTAATTGTTATTTTCTTGTGCGAAAGTGATAATGAAATAAGCATTCGAGAGTTGGGTTTAATGGGCTAAAAGAGTGAGTATAGTATTGAGTTGGATTTGGATATAATAATTAAATCAAAAATTATAATTTGAGTGGAATAAATATAAATATCTATGTAGGCATGTCACGTAGACACCAAGTAAACGCCACATAGGATAATGATGAGATTTAATGGTTCAAGAGCAAATGACAAGGATAAATATATCAAAAAAGTATAACAAAGGAAAAATATAATCCTTTTCTGAAACTATAAGAGCAAATATGATCATTTTCCGTTGATTTTATGAACTGGACAAATATTATTAGACATGCCAAAATATTATAGTAGACAAGTAAAGATGGACCAAGTATTAATTTTAATAAGTGTCTTGCCAATAAGTTCAACATCAACACAATCTACCAAATCAAACCAAAATAAAAAAAGGAAAAGAAAAATTAATAAGTCACCATATGAAAACTAAAATAGTCAAATAAATAAATAAATTCTAATGACTCCAAAGTTGTCCTCTAGTATATTTCCATGTATATAGATATCCCTCATCTTTTTTTTTTCTCTCAACACCATCAAATTTTCTTCTCAATTTTAGTCATGACAACATTTGATAATCATGAAGAAGCTATGGTTATCATTGTTGGTGCTGGGCCTGGTGGTCTTGCTACATCTGCATGTCTAAATAAATTATGTATACCAAATCTCATTCTTGAAAAAGAAGATTGCTACTCTCCTATGTGGAAAAAATATTCTTATGATAGAGTTCATCTTCATTTAGCTAAACAATTTTGTCAACTTCCTTATATTCCTTTTCCTTCTTCTTCACCTACTTATATACCAAAAAAACTATTCATTCAATACTTGGATAACTATGTTACTCATTTTAATATCACCCCTTTTTACAAAAGAAAAGTTGAATTTGCTAAATTTGATAAATTTACTAAAAAATGGAAGGTTAAATGTTATTACTGGTAATGCCAGAAGCAGAAAGATTGAAAGTACGACATTGGATAAAATTTATCTTACGTAATCCAGATGATTTCTTATAGGGTACTCATTCTTATTTGATAAATATTTAATGATAATATTTTTATTTTATTTTTGTTATATCATTCTTCTGTCCTAAAACTTAAAATCCCAAATTTCTAATCGTGTGTCTGTATGTTACAGATGCACTTGATATCAAGAGAAATGGGATATTTGGGGTTGATGTTGTTGAAGTACAAAGTTGCATATACAGTGGTGGATACTATAATGGTGATGTTAAGTAAGTTGATGTACGGAGATATAAGCAAATATTATGGTGTGAAAAGGCCAGAAGAAGGACCATTTGCTTGTAAAATAAAGTATGGGAAGTACCCTGTTTTTGATGTGGGGACTTATCAAAAGATCAAGTCCGGTGAAATTCAGGTAACATAAACTGTTTGATTCGCGGAATTCGAACCGTATCTGAATCATGTGATTAAATAAAATGATGGTGACAGGTGTTACCTGTAATGAAAGGCATAAGAGGAAATGATGTTGTGTTGGAAAATGGTAAAATTCATCAATTTGATGGTATTGTTTTTTCTACTGGATTCAAGAGAACTATTCACAAGTGGCTTCAGGTAAGTAAACTTTTCTTTTTTATTCTAATAATAATATTAAATTGTCTTCTTTGTTGTGTGATTTTCTTCTGTTTTCTAATTTTGTTTTTGAAGAAAAAGATAATAAGTTCAGATGATTCTAAATTTTATTTTATTTTTTGCATTCTATATGTGTTTATTGTGTAGGGAGATGATTATCTGCTGAATGAAGATGGATTACCAAAGCCAGAATTTCCACAACATTGGAAGGGGAAGAATGGACTCTATTGTGTGGGGTTATCAAGAAGAGGACTTTATGGGATTGCATTTGATGCCCAAAACATAGCCACACATATCAACTCTCTGCTCTCTAAATAATTATTTATTGCTTTTGCTGAGTGAGAGTTTTTAGAGTCTTAGACATGAAGGGATGTGAATGTTGGTTAGTTAAATTAAATTATGACATTTAATTTTTTTTATGCAATGTAATGTGAGTGAGAGAATTTAAGATTAGTAGTAATCTTAGAGTTGAATTTTGAGTATCGACTCATGTTTAAACTTCATTTGAAAATTAGTCAATTTAGTATTAATTTTTAAATCTTTAAAATTGGTAAAAAAATTATTACTAACTATTATAATATGTAATTCAATTTAATAATTTATCCCTTAAATTTTTCTGAATATTTTTGTGATGATTATTAATATTAATTCATCTTTACTTTAATTTAAATTAAATTAAGTTAAATTAAATTTACAATAAAGTAATTTCGGAGTTCGGACGGTCAACAACATGAATCCCAAAAAGTTGTTTTTGTGTAATTTATAGATACAAGATTGAAATTTATCACATATATTGATATGTCACCCAGCCAGAATTGCGATAGCTTAATAGGATGCGAGACCTAAAGTCAAATATTTTTTTAAAAAGAGATCTTATGTTTATGTAATCATTTATATATTCTAATAGTTAATTATAAATTTGATAACTAATTCTCTTTTTCAATTGATAGTATAATAAATTTTTTTGTAATAATTCATAGGACTGAAATAGTTATATATAAATTATTATACGTTACACAATACCACAAATGTTTATCTAGAAGTAGTAGAAATATTTATAAAAAATAGCATTAAGACATCACCTAGTATGTCAATTGGAGTATAATTTTTATTTTGTATAATATTTCGTATTACCTTTAATTATAAAAATAGGTCTAACTCATCAATATTGTAGTGATTGTTACGCTTTATAAGACATTCAAAGTTAGACAATGTCTTTTTAAATTTAATTATTCGATAATATAATTGGGTTGGGCTTGAAATGTCTAAGAAGACACCTAAAAAAATTGATAAAAATCTGAGAAAGTCAATATTAAAACGTGATTAATTCAAATTGAAATGAATTAAACAAATTAAGGAGTAGAAATTAGCTATAAATATAATTACCTACAACTTTTAATTATAATTACATCAGTTGTATTTTAACAAATAATAAAAATTTTAAAAATATTACATAATGATTAGTAAAAGATTGAGTACAAACTAAAAATTTCAATTAATATGAACAATAAATATGTAATTATTTAAATATTGTATATATTAACATTGAAAAATTATCGCATAAAAATTACCTAGTACGATTTATATCTTCAATGTGATTTGCAGCAGGTTATTACAGGTTTGGGTTTACCTAGTGCACAAAAATGATTGAAAAGTATACAGCTCGTACTTAATGCCTAGGTGAGGTGAAAGTACAACTCTCTCAATTTTGTTGACTTCCTCAAGCTTAACCATCTACGCAGTTAATTAATGACCACAAGCTCATTTGGTCTTAAAACCAAAATAAAAAAAGTTGTTATATATGTCAAAATGTATAAGCCAAAAGAAAAAATAGTTAGATTTGTTCTTGTGCTCTTATATTGTATCGTTTAAATTCATCCTTAGATAATGATAAAAAGACACAGTTTATGCAGAAGTGGAGACATGATTTCATGTCAGTTGGTTCTAAATTTTTAAAAAGAATACCGATCTTAACCTAAAGTAACAATCATCAAATTAACGAACAAATACAAGTATTCAATTCACTAAAAACAAATAAGGAACCAAATAAGGAAAAAAATGAAAAGGGAGAGACAAGAGTATACACCGGAGGCCAGATGTTGGATAGCAACAATTAGATCAACAATAAAAGTTAGAATCATAACTTTTGGAGAAAAAAAATTGAGTTAAACTTTTTGAATATGAATAGAAATCAATAGTCAGATATTGTAGTTTCAGAGTACGATACAAATACTATTTATTTTTCATTTAACAATTTTTTGTTTTTTAATTATTTTTTTATATAAACCCAAATTTGTGTGACTACCGAGATTCGAACCCCTGGACCACTGGGGTGTGAATGATCTCGATGGGTGCTCAACTATCACTGGACTAAATGCTTCAGTGTGTTTATGAGTTTGCAGGAAATATATATATATATATATATATATATATATATACATTGTACTTCATATTTTAATATAAATATAGAGTCTACGAAAAAGTCAGTGGGTTCGGCCAAATCCCCTTCCTCTACAGTTGCTCCGCCCCTGACTCTGTCCACTTTTAATTGTCATAACTTCCTTTTTCAGAGTCAAACTATAAAGACTTTGAATAAATAAATTATGTATACCAAATCTCATTCTTCAAAAAGAAGATTGTTACTCTCCTACGTGGAAAAAATATTCTTATGATAGAGTTCATCTTCATTTACCTAAACAATTTTGTCAACTTCCTTATATTCCTTTTCCTTCTTCTTCACCTACTTATATACCAAAAAAAGCTATTCATTCAATACTTGGATGACTATGTTACTCATTTAATATCACCCTTTTTTACAATAGGAATGTTGAATTTGCTAAATTTGATGAATTTTCTAAAAAATGGAATGTTAAGGTTAGAAATGGTAATTCTGATGAAATGGAAGAGTATTTTTGTAAATTTCTTGTTGCATCCACAGTGGTGGACACTATAATGGTGATGTTATGGGCCCGTTTGGCCATGCGATATGGTATCATGATATGAAATCATGATATGATATCATGATATGGAATCATGAGATGAAATTTGAAGTTTTGTTTGGACATGCGATATGGAAATTTTTGTGTTGTATATTTTTCTCATAAACATAAAAATTCCATAAGTTGTAAAACTATTAAAATAGCCCCAATTGTTTATTCAATCTTATCAAATAAACAAAAATTATAAAATCGCATAATAAATTATTACAAAGCTATTTGTTCTCCACTTAAGTAATTGTTTCATTTAACTTTAATTTAATAAAAAAAAAATTGAACATAAATTGTAGTGTACTAGTCTTTAATATAATCCTCCCACATAGTACGGAAAATTTTCTCACGTTGAACTTTCATTTCTCGATCATGTGACCGAGAAGACGAACCAACATTGTTACTTTGAGCCATTTGTTGGTCAATATCATCCGCAACTATATTTTCATGCTCATAGACCATAAATATTTCTTCACTTTAACAATCGATTGGTGTGAGTTAAAGTGACTATATGTTGGTGAGAATAATAAATTTTATGTCAGTGAGAATAAATAAATTTTAAAAGTAATGATGTGATTATAAATTTTATTTACTTATGAAATAAATGATTAGTAGATACAAATGTGGGGTTGTTTTAACAAAATATAAACTCGTGAATCAATTTTTGTATTAAAATATCTCAAATCATGATATGGAATCACCATATAATTCCATATCATGATTTTTGGAGAATATCAAAAACTATTCAAGAAATAACCTTGTATATACGTTAAGAAAAATATTGTAATGTCTAAGTAACCATAAGACTTTTTTTTTTTTTTATCAAGTAAATATAAAACTTTGAAGCGCAATAGTAAAGAAGCACACTCAAGTAAAAATAAGAAATTTTCTAAAATAAAATATTCTAATTAAAAAAATATAAATAACTTATACAGCTATACTCATATATTTAATTATAAAAAACAAAAACTATTTGTTTCATACATTCTGTTTTTAATCTAATGGGTCATAAAAAAAGAAATAAACTGGGTATGTAATTATAGATATACTTCATAATGTATGCACATATTTTAAAAATATTTATCTAAATAGAAATCTTATCAAGCTATTTTTTTTGTGTAGAATTTTTTAGTATAAAGGTTTAGATATTTGATATCAAAATGTGTATATATAATTGACTCATATTATTGGGATATTTTTTTTGTTGGTGTATATGTATTTTATTATTAAAATAAAATACTAAGTGCATATGTTAGTGAGTATAAATGACTATTAGTTGTTGTAACTTATATGACCATTACTTCTTGTAACTCTCATGGTCGTTAGTGTCTTGTAACTCATATAACCATTAGTTTCTTGTAACTCATATGACCATTAGTTCCTTGTAACTCATATGACCATTAGTTTCTTGTAACTCATATGACCATTAGTTCCTTGTAACTCATATGACCATTAGTTCCTTGTAACTCATATGACCATTAGTTCCTTGTAACTCATATGACCATTAGTTCCTTGTAACTCATATGACCATTAGTTCCTTGTAACTCATATGACCATTAGTTCCTTGTAACTCATATGACCATTAGTTCCTTGTAACTCATATGACCATTAGTTCCTTGTAACTCATATGACCATTAGTTCCTTGTAACTCATATGACCATTAGTTCCTTGTAACTCATATGACCATTAGTTCCTTGTAACTCATATGACCATTAGTTCCTTGTAACTCATATGACCATTAGTTCCTTGTAACTCATATGACCATTAGTTCCTTGTAACTCATATGACCATTAGTTCCTTGTAACTCATATGACCATTAGTTCCTTGTAACTCATATGACCATTAGTTCCTTGTAACTCATATGACCATTAGTTCCTTGTAACTCATATGACCATTAGTTCCTTGTAACTCATATGACCATTAGTTCCTTGTAACTCATATGACCATTAGTTCCTTGTAACTCATATGACCATTAGTTCCTTGTAACTCATATGACCATTAGTTCCTTGTAACTCATATGACCATTAGTTCCTTGTAACTCATATGACCATTAGTTCCTTGTAACTCATATGACCATTAGTTCCTTGTAACTCATATGACCATTAGTTCCTTGTAACTCATATGACCATTAGTTCCTTGTAACTCATATGACCATTAGTTCCTTGTAACTCATATGACCATTAGTTCCTTGTAACTCATATGACCATTAGTTCCTTGTAACTCATATGACCATTAGTTTCTTGTAACTCATGTAACATCTACCCACATTACTACCCCTCATTCTACCCATTGATTATATGAAAGACTGCTTCACCTATAAATAGTGGTGTTTCTTCCTTTGTGAAGGATCCAAGTAGAAGTGAAATAATGTAAGAAAAGATAAGAAGTTTATATTGAGGTTCGTGTAGTGAAAGAGAGAGTTGAAACAAAGAAAATTTTAAGTCTTCCACTATATT